GTGGGAGCACCATGGATTTATAAGGGGGATTATGATACTCTCTGTCTTATTTTCTCTCTCTTTCCTAATAGTTCCTAACATGGTTAGCCTTTTTGACTGCTGTTGCACATTGAGCTGAAGTTTTAGGAGGTCCACGAAAAGCTTATGCTCTAATAAATTTGTTAGTCTCTAAGGTGCCACAAGTACTCCTGTTCTTTTTGCAGATACAGACTAACACGGCTGCTACTCTGAAACCTGTCATAATGCAGTTCGGTCAACATGGGAGAATACTCCAAGAATACTCCAATAGGACATGCTACCAAGGAAACATTTTGTGTTTTTAATTCTCCACTATGAAATGCTAAACAACAACCCACTCCAAATTCTACACCTTACTGAAGGAACTGCATGCAATCACAGTATTGTTCAGTTCGTTAGGCCTATATTATCTCAGGTGACCCGAGAAGAAAGTACCACCATATGTGGCTTGGAGTTTTGCAATATGCTCACGCAGTTGGTTCCCAAAGACGTTATGAGCCAGGGCTTACAGGAGGTTACTCCTGCAGATCTCTCCTAGCTAAGATTTTGATTGGTGAAATGTCTGTAACAATGCTGGTTCTGGCGGGACCCAACTGAGAGTGCCAATTCAGGACACATTGCTCAAACAGGGCAGTTACAGCCCAAGGCTGGGGTTTTCCAACCTCTAAGGCAAACCAAACCAGCCCGACAGGGAGGACTTCAGTCTCACCCCACTGGCTAACCACAAGTCACACAAGCAATTCCCTTAGACACTCCAGTTTCCCAGGATCGCCACCAGTGCCACTCTTTATGGGGACAAATGGTTATGAAAACCAATACCCCAGTAAAAGAAAAAAGATTCTCCTGATCCCAAAGGACCAAGCCCCAGACCCAGGTCAATATACAAATCAGATCTTACCCACAAATCCCGCTGTTGCCAATCCTTTAGAATCTAAAATCTAAAGGTTTATTCATAAAAGGAAAAAGATACAGATGAGAGCTAGAATTGGTTAAATGGAATCAATTACACACAGTAATGGCAAAGTTCTTGGTTCAGGCTTGTAGCAGTGATAGAATAAACTGCAGGTTCAAATCAAGTCTCTGGAACATCCTCAGCTGGGATAGGTCATCAGTCCTTTGTGTGATATGCATCCGAAGAAGTGGGCTGTAGTCCACGAAAGCTTATGCTCTAATAAATTTGTTAGTCTCTAAGGTGCCACAAGTACTCCTGTTCTTCTTTTTGCGGATACAGACTAACACGGCTGTTACTCTGAAACTAGTCCTTTGTGTAGAGCTTCAGTTTGTAGCAAAGTCCCTCTAGATGTAATAAGCAGGACTGAAGACAAGATGGAGATCAGGCATCAGCCTTTTATAGTCTTTTCCAGGTGTAAAAACACCTCTTTGTTCTTACTGTGGAAAATTACAGCAAAATGGAGTCTGGAGTCACATGGGCCAGTCCCTGCATACTTTGCTGAGTTACAAGGCATATCTGCCTTTTCTCAATGGGTCAGTTGTGTAGCCGATGGTCCTTAATGGGCCATCAAGCAGGCTAGGCAGAACTAACACCAACTTGTCTGGGGCGTCACCCAGCAGCATAGCACGTGTTTGAAATACAAACAGTACAGAGCCAATACTTATAACTTTAAATACAAAAATGATATATGCATATAGACAGCATAATCATAACCAGCCAACTATAACCTTGTCTTAGACACCCTATTTGACCCCCTTTATACAAGATTTGGTGCCACTACAGGACTTTGGTTGCAGCCATGTTCTATATGGTCCCAGTTCAAATCAATAACGTGACAATGTCCCTAACATGTGGAGGAAATAGAAGCAGTGTTTGTGTTGAACTAATCCTTTGGAGGTGCTGCGAAGGAGTAGAAAATGAAATCCGTGTTGAACATGAGAAAGATGAAGAAAAATCACTGTTTTTTTAACAGAAACTCCGCCTGGTGCAGCTTACAGCGATTCTGATTCAGGTCTGTGTCTGGTTCCTAACAGAGACCTGTGCCACCAGAGAGATCGACGCCTAGGCTCCTGTGCAGCGAATGGATAGAGATCGGCACTGCGGCTCCCGTACAGCGAATGGGGAAGAAACTGGCACCTTGGAATGGGATCCACAAACCCTGTCGTGCTAGGTGGCTTCTCCCCTAAGCTAGCCAGGGGAGAGGCCCATGACAGGGAAATGCTAAGTCCAAACCTCAGACAGAGAGCGGTGGATCTCTGCTTCTGAGCCCCAGACTGGGAACCAGACGGCTTAGGTGCCTACGTCATTTCTTCCGAGAATGGGGGAGGCACTTGCCTCATTCCACCCCCAGCATCCAGGGGAGGAGGCAGGCGTGGTGGCACCCACCATATCACGGTTTGCCCAGTGGGCAGAGTAATTGGTCCCAAACTTTTCCCTAGGACAACCCACCAACCCAGCTGCAGTTTGACTTTTTGGAGACCCGCCATTATCCCTTCTCCCCTTCCCAGCTGATTCCTTGCCCTGCTCCCCTGAACCACCCTGGTGCTCTCCCTCCCCATCGCCTCTCCGCCCCCAGCCTCTCCCTCCTCTCCCCTGACAGTTGTCGGGGTTTAGGGCCACAAGGGAGCAGCAGATCATCTGGGGCTGACCTCATGTATAGGAGAAGCCAGAGAACAGGAGGGGCACCAGTGGCTGACGCCCGTGCAGTGGCAGAGACACGCTGATGCTGATGTACCCTTGTTGCCAAGGCATTTGAGATTCGTTGTCCCAAATCAGAGGGAAGTGGAAATGAATGAGGAATTTTATATCCCCCAGTTGATAAACGAGGTGGAGGGGTGAAAGTTGAGTGGAACGCCATCTACATTTTTGGGAATTAGAGAGAAAATGGGGGGGAAACTTGCAAGGACTTTATATCAACCAATAATCAAGAATTTGACAAAACAGCAACATCGGAGAAGATCTGATGTTAATACACCTCTACCTCAATATAACACGAATTCAGATATAACACGATAAAGCAGTGCTCGGGGAGGGGGGGCTGCGCACTCCAGCGGATCAAAGCAAGTTCGATATAATGCGGTTTCACCTATAACGCGGTAAGATTTTTTGGCTCCCGAGGACAGCGTTATATCGCGGTAGAGGTGTATATCATTAGATGGGAAAATCTCAGGAGATAATAGATCAGTTACAGATAATTAGAGAAAAATGGGGCCATTTTTTAAAGGATGCTATGTCACTATTTTAGAATGAAGGCGTAAGCGGAGGTGAAAACCTATATATTTGTTCACAGAGAAAAACACCAATATCAATGTTCAGTAATTTGAGAGACAGACGGGAGGCATTATATAGACATGATCAATAAACAACAGAAGGGGATGGTTCCCTCTTGGCTGACAATCACACGGCAGCAAGGAGCCCTGGGCAATGCTGCTTTAACAGGGGCTGGGATGAGGGTGAATGCAGCCAGTGGGGAGCGGGAGAGCATGGGGGTCTGGGACCATGACTAGCCGCTGGTGGCAGGAGGGGGCTGGGTTGGGCTGGGGTAGGGACGAAGCAGGAAGCAGTTGGGAGACGGTAATCTGGGGCTGGGCCGTCTCCATGGGGGGACGGACACGCTCCTCCCTTTCTGTCTTTTGCCCTTTCCATGCCTTGTTGCTGGCAGAGAATGGCCACCCAATCCCCACCCCAGAGGCAGGCACATCTCAGGGTCCTCTTATTCTGCACCCACTAACCCCCTGCCCATTCGGGGAATGGCTGAGGGCATCGAGTTCCCCCCAACACAAGAATGATTTGCTGCAGATAAAATGGGTGGGAAAACATCCCAAATCGGAGGCGATTTTAAACTGAGATTCAAGAATTAGAGAGAAAATGGGGGCAAAACCTGAGCATAACAGATAAAAAAGCAATACTGTGAGAGAAAAGGGGGGAAACTGATGAGAATTTTATAGCCATACTTGATAATTACAGAGAAAGGGGGAAGACTGTCAGGGTGCAGGGGCAGCACTGCAGAATGACCGCCTGCCATTGTCCCTGCGGTGACACAAATCTGACATCAGGAATCATAATACTCAAAAACCAGTGGGAGAACACTTCAACCTGTCTGGTCATTCA